AGCAGCTATATCTCTAATGCCTGTTTGAGGGGCTATGGTACCCCCTTCTGACCACTTCTGGCAGTGCAAACATGTGGCGCACAAACTTATATTCAGACAGAACACCAATACTGAGAAAATAAGAATGGGTAAATCTCAAAAACAGTTATAGAAATAATTCAGTGCCCGGAACATTATCTCAGCAGTATTTGCCTTAGACCATGAGGTTCTGGCTCCCCTCCTGAACCGTGTAGTCCTACACTGTGAAGATGGAGATGGGCAGATCCTACTTGGTCAATTCCAAGCCAGTGAGAGACCATGTCTCAAACAAACACATGCTGGCCAGTGCCTGAAAAACTTTCCCTTTCTCCTCTATGTGTATGACACTGTGCATATTTGCACACTCATGAGCACAACCACACATGCACAGAATGAAGAATTTGAAATGTTTGAAGCCTATCCCATTTGACTTGTGTGTTCTGTCACACAATGTCACACTGGCTTCTGTCAATATAGACTTTAGCTATTTAGCTCACCAGCCTCTAAACTATGTCCATATCCAGATCTGCAGATGCAGCATGATCCTTTTGCAGAGACTAAGATTTGCTTATAGGAAAAGAAGAGAAGCTTGCACTCTTCAGCTGTCCAGGAAAATTATTTGAGGCAGAAGCTAATGGGACTACTTAATAGTTACCCTAGGAATTTCTGCACCCCACCAAATATCTGTATTCAAGTTGATGAAATCTAATACATCTCAAGATCCTTAGCTTGGTCACAAACCTGCCACTATCCTGGTTTCCCAGATGTTGCCTTTGTGGTGAACAAAATTATCCTGACATGTCATTACCATGCAAGTATCAGATAGGAGACAGAGAGCACAGAGAAAGAATGACAGGAAGGATAGGATGTGCTGTCAAGCTGTCTTCTAACGCCTTGTTGGCCAGCACTCCTTGAGACTTCCTAGAAATGATAGAAAGATGCTTGGGAGAAAACACTCTTACTCTTAGTAGGGGTTCTGGTTAAGGATTGTGCTATGATTTCCACATGAATGACTCTATATAACTCGGGTGTTGAACACTAAGCCCCAAGCTGGTAGCACTAGTCAGAGAGGATCTGAAAACCTTAGGGGGCAGAGTCAAACTGGAGGAAGTAGGTTCCTCCTGATAATTTGTCACTGGCCTCTTCCTTTCCCTTTCTATGCTTTCTGCCCACCCTGGTAGCAGCTACTTTCTCTCTTGGTTTCCCCGACAGAGTGAAGCCTCTGAAATTAGGAGTAACAAACCATTCCTTCATTTTCCATTTTTTCTCTCTCAGATATTGTAGTCTCAGCTACACAAACATAACTAAGACAGCTAGGCTCCATGTATCCCTGATATGACTGCCACCAGAGCAAATAAGGCTTCAGAATGTTTCCTGATCTACAAGAAAACATGCATTCATACACATTCCATTGCGCTTACTCTTAGTATTTAGGTAGGAGGCTACCTTCCAGCTGATAGAGTGATCTACCTGAATAGGCATTTCCATGGCTCCAGTTTTATATCCGAGTTCTGGTCTTGTTCCCAGCCTCACGTCTGACTCAACATTGTGAAACTAAGAAATCATTTAGCCTCCCAGTGCCTCAAAATCGAGCTTCTGTGAATGAGGATAATGGGTACAGCTCTCTTGCTTCACTGACTTGTTGTGAAGTTTAATTAGGTAATGTTTACACAGCTCTTTGAACTCTACCAATTAAAGTGATGCATAAGTGCAGTGCCTCCTTTTATTAGGATGCCCGGACTGAGCTGTTTCATAAAGACTCGAAGATGACTGAGATAGGAGGAACTACAGGGGAGAGACTTTATTTGTGTGTGTGTGTGTGTGTGTGTGTGTGTGTGTGTGATCACAGTTCTGAACCTGTTACTTGGCATATGAAAATACCTAGTTAGGACTGTGTTTAAGGAGATGTAACTTCACACTTACAGCAGTGGTAAAGTTCTGCTCTACACTCAGGGGCGTTCACACTTACAGCTTTATAGTAAGGGGTGTTCACACTTACAGCTTTACACTCAGGAGCGTTCACACTTACAGCTTTACACTCAGGGGCATTCACACTTACAGCTTTACACTCAGGGGTGTTCACACTTACAGCTTTACACTCAGGGGTGTTCACACTTACAGCTTTACACTCAGGGGCGTTCACACTTACAGCTTTACAGTAAGGGGTGTTCACACTTACAGCTTTACACTAAGGGGTGTTCACACTTACAGCTTTACACTAAGGGGCGTTCACACTTACAGCTTTACACTCAGGGGCGTTCACACTTACAGCTTTACACTCAGGGGTGTTCACACTTACAGCTTTACACTCAGGGGCGTTCACACTTACAGCTTTACAGTAAGGGGTATTCACAGTTACAGCTTTACACTCAGGAGCGTTCACACTTACAGCTTTACACTAAGGGGTGTTCACACTTACAGCTTTACACTCAGGGGTGTTCACACTTACAGCTTTACACTAAGGGGTGTTCACAGTTACAGCTTTACACTCAGGGGCGTTCACACTTACAGCTTTACATTAAGGGGTGTTCACACTTACAGCTTTACACTCAGGAGCGTTCACACTTACAGCTTTACACTCAGGAGCGTTCACACTTACAGCTTTACACTAAGGGGCGTTCACACTTACAGCAGTGGTGAAGGAACTCTGAGCTCCAGCAGCATAGAATGGTGCCTGCAGCTTTAAGTATTGCCATCCTGTATTTTGCAACACATTTTCTTTAACAATAGTGGTGAATTGTTTTACTTTTCATGTAAAGAATCATAGTGCAAACTACAGCACTTGATTAGACAGCGATAGTACGCAAATTAGTGTAACTCTGTATAACCATCCAATGATGGTATACTCATATATCAGAGGTCTTCTTACAAACATATCATATGAATAGGAAACCCTGCTGTTTATTATGAGACTATTGAATTCTAATATGATCATCTAAGTTATTTTTAAATTCTACATTAATAATAGATTTTCTTCTTCAGAAATATATTCATAGATAGGTTATTTTATCCTTTGGGACAGAACAGTGGTTTGTTTCCATAGCCTGCTGTGAGTTTTTGTGTGTAAATATATTTAAGATAGAAATTTTAGATAAGATCATAGGCATATAGCAACTCAATTTCATATTTGACTAAATGACCCAGAATTTTGATGAATGGAAACCTAGTTAACCATTTTATTGGAAATGTAGAAAACTGATAAAATAATTCAGAAAACTCCAGAATATTCAGGCAAGAGGTTTCAACTGCAAGGTTTGTTTTTTTGTTTTGTTTTGTTTTTTATGAAATCTGGTCCCTGGTGTATTGCACTTGGACTGCTTTTTCCTGCAGATTCAGAAATGCATCTGCTCATAGGCCAAAACATAACCACAATTGAGCTCTTAGAAACCTGACAGGAAGAACCTGACTCATGTTTTCTGAAATTTATGTTCTTTCTGATCTTCATCACCATGATAAGAAAAGAATTACAGTGAAATTTTGGTCTTTGTGCACTAACTTCTGGCTGGTAGAATATGTGAGGATCCTTTAGTAAATCCCGGGGCCTAGTATCTGACTGGATATTGTTATTTGAGGAAGATTGCTAGGAATTATTTTACTGTAAAGATAACAAAATGCAGATCTGAGACTGCAAGATGTATAGATAACTCCAAGGGGCAAGAGACAAAGTCTACATTTGTTAGTGCCAGGAAATGGCTTAACACAGCTGCTTAGGGCTCTGCGCTGTGGATGCTGATCAAAAAGAAGAGATGGTTTAAGAACCAGTTCATTCTTTGTCAGCCTTGGGGTTATGTGGGTACCATGATCCAGAGAGAGGATTATAGAGGTTGTTGTGAATGTTTGTGGGTATAGTCCTCCCCCATTCTGCAATATTATTATTTTGAGAGTTCTCTGACATCCCTTAGTGGTCCTCAGTTGGATTCTTTGGATGCAAAGGTTTGATTTTAAATCAATGTCCAGTTAGCTATTATTTTATCACCATAATCTGCACCCACAGGCTCTAAGGAGACACCTGGCATCATTTAACTTGACATTTCCGTTCTCAGAGTGTTACCAGGGATGTCACAGGAAAAGGATGCTGTGGCCTCTGTCTGGGGCAGGGTTGGAGGCTGTCTGAGAACCCTGGGACCCCAATGTCTGCAGAGTTTACTTAGCCCAGGGGACACTTTGGATAAGAATGGCAGACTTTAGCTAACAAAGTATTGCCCACAACAACATAAATTAAGGTAGTGCTTTAACTTTAGAAGAAATTCCTCCTTGAGAATTTGAGAACGAATTGAGTATTGGATTTTTTTCTTACATCCTTGAATGTAAGGCCCCTCTCCCTGCAGTGTTTTCTGTTTACAGTAGCTCCCCAAGTATTTATCCTGTGTTTAATGATGGAGAATGTCACACTTTTTTTTAAATCTGTAAGACAATATGTTTATGCTGAGTCTTATTCTATTTTGTAATGAGACCTTCGTAAATGTGAAGCAGAACCATAGAGCTCTGAGAATATGGGTTTTCTCTCCAGTGTTTCTGCGATTTTTGTTTGCTTTGTTTTGATGAATGAGTGAGTGTGTGTGTGTGTGTGTGTGTGTGTGTCTGTATTGTCATATTTCTTGCTAAGAGTATTAAGACAAATGACCAGAAAGCTAAGGCTTCATCTACCTCAGGATTTATGCATGCATGTTGTCACAAGGCAATAAGATTTGTCTCTGGCTGGACAGATATGTCCAACTGGACACAATCAACACACACAACATGGGACATAATAATAAAGTGTATGTTAATGCAATGTTCAGAGCTCACTCCATAGAGACTCATAAAAACAAACAAACAAACAAAACAACTGCAATGTTAATTGTCTGTTGTCCTTCTACCTGATGACCAGTAATCAGCGTGAAGTTAGTCTTTTACTCGTGAAGTGTGTACTTAGATACTTTGAGAATACAGGACAAAGTACAGGACAGAATTTGAGTGTTTCATGGCTGTTCCATTTGCAGGTATTCCCAGGCTGATTACAGCTGATATGGTTAGAGAAGGCGCAGCAGTAATTGATGTGGGTATCAACTATGTTCAAGATCCTACGACAGGAAAGACTAAACTAGTTGGAGATGTAGACTTCGAAGGTAAGAACACAAGCCTCTTGATAAGTAAAGGGGATGCCTTGATTCCAACCTTCATCCTTGTGTATTTTTGAGAATTTCATACAAAGACTGTTTTTACACAATTTCCACCCTTCTCTCCCCCTCCAACTCTTTCTGTGTTTCCCCACTCCCTACCAAGTTTCTGATCTCACCTTCTATGATTATAATTGTTACTCTTGTATACACACACATATATGCATATGCACAACCTACCAAGCCCGTTTAGTGGTGCTCCTTATGTATATATGTTTAGGGCTGGCCACTTGGGATTGGATAATCTGAAGGGAGGTGGTCCCTGTAGAAGACTGATTCTCCCTTTCTGAGCAGCCATTTGTTTATTGCCTGTAGTTCTTCATCTAGGGGTGTGACTTTATGAAATTTCCCCTTTCCGAGCTGACATGCTGACTGGTATCATTATGCATATCCTGTTTTGGTAATCATGGTTTTGAGATTTCATGAATACAAAACATTATCTAACAGCAGGGATCCCAGTCCTCTCTCCCTTAAAAATTTTCCCGTTCTTTTTCCAAGATGTTCTCTGAGCCTTGGGTATAGGTGCTGTATTGTAGGTGAACCAAGTGGGCTGAAACCACAGTTACATATTCTCTGCACTTTGATCACTTGTACTACAGAGGAGTACCTCTGTCAGCTGGGAAAAGAAGTTTCTTTGAGGAGGGTAAGAGTCACACTTTTCTGTGGGTATGAAGATAAATGTTTGGAATATAATTAGAAGTTATGTTGGTTTAGGAAAATGTCAGTAGGAGGTTCTCTTCTTGTGTCTGTGACCTCTTCAGCCACCCTAGGGGCCAGAATTTTAGTACCAGACATGACTCCACCCTTGTAAGGACTCTTAGTACACACAGCTATTGGTTATTTCCAAGGTATGAGTACCACTATTATACTTTGAGGTTAGGTGATTGGTGAGCAGATCATTGTTGTGGGTCCTGGACTTTGAAGGCAGGTAGGACTATTAATTGTTTTTTTTCTTCCTTGATGCTTTCCATAGCACCATTGGGTACTGCATGAGTTAGTCTTCATGGAGGAGGAATCAATGTCTGTTGCAAGGCTGATTCCTCTAAGTCTTCTGTCTGAGGTGTGTGGTGCCTTCCAGTTCTAGGAGGCAGCTAAGGACAATAGTAATAGTGCATGTGGTTTTGGAGTCTCTTGGACTCCCTGACCAATAAAGGAGGCATTCTGATGGGGGAAGCTCTGCTAACTAATCACGTGAAGAAGTGGAACCTAATTAAGGCGTGGCTACCTGGAGCCCAGGAAGAAAACTGGGATGGATCAGGTGCGCACCTCTCTGTGGGTGATTCCTGACGGACAGAGCGGAACTTGGACTTCCCATTCTTGTGGAGCGAGTTTCCCCTTATGACAATTAAAAATATAATTGTTTATCTTTAAGCTTGCCTGATTATTTCCCAAATTGAGCAAACAGCTTCACTTGGCGCCCAATATACATTTGGCGTGGGGCCGCTTAATTCTTTGGTGGATCTGGCCAGCCGCAGCATAGAATTCCCACACAGTGGCCCTATTTATTATCGACACACTTGATAGATACAGATGGATCATTACAAACCAAAGGAATAAACAATGCCATTTAAAAATGTAGGTTTTATTTTTTATGCATATGAGTGTTTTGCCTACATATATATTTCTGTATCACATGCACGCTTAGTTCCCAAGGAAGCTAGAAGAGGGAGTCAGATTTCCTAGAACTAGAGTTATGGACAGTTGTGAGTCACCTGGTGGGTGCTGGAAATTGAGGCTCGGTCCTCTGAAAGAACAGCCACGCTCTTAGTCGCCCTTAGAATTCACACTTTACATTTATACTGAGAACTTGATCATCAGTTGCTCATTTATCCAGTTTAACATGATGTTTAACAAGATTTAAAATGCAGATGTTTGCAAGTGTCCCAGAGCACGGGCCTCACATTTGTCAGATCCTGCACAGAAACAGGGACTAGACCCTGATTCGGCCGTTTAAGTCTGCTGGTTAAGGAACAAAGAGCAGCCACACGTGTGCACTGCTGTGTTCCAGGAGCAGGTCAAGCACAGTGGACTTGTTAAAAAGTACGCTACCGTCTTCATGCGCTCTGATTGCTAGGGACCCCAGTGTGGTTTAAGTTCTAGTCGACAGCACTGATTTTCCACTGAAACATGTCTGCACCACTACATATGTGTAGAGATTTGTACATATATGCTGGGTATACATGCTGAAATGCTCATGAGAGGAAATCTAGAATACCAGCAGCCCAGGAACTAACCCTTGGTATCAAAAGATGGGGCCAGATGAAAACAGATTTCTGTCCAGCAAAGAAAACAGCAGAGTTAACAGACAGACCACTGAAGGGGAGAGAAATTTTTGATGGCTACACTTCAGGCAAAGGGCTAACGGTCAGAATTTATAAATTATTGTGGAAATTAATTACCAAGTGAATAAAATTGCCAATTAACAAATAGGAAAGTGAACTAAATAGAAACAGTGAACTGAATGAAAAAGACATAAAAATGGTCAATAGCTGCTTTAAAGAGTTCAGGGTCTGTAACCTTCAAGGAAATACATAATAACTGCTTTGAACCTCCATCTCACCCCAGTCAGAACAGCCATCGTCAGCATATCTGACAACGAATGTTGGAGAAGATGTGGAGAGAAATGCTTATTCCTGTTGTTGGATGTGCAGATTAATATGCCAATTGTGGAACATAGTTTAGAGGTTTCTGGAAAATCTAAAGCTAGAACTACAATGTGGACCTGGGCAGAGTAGATCCAGAGAACTGCATCCCCCGCTGGAGAGATCCCTGCACTCACATGTTTGTCGAGGCTCATTTGCTGCAGCAAAGGATTGGATCAACCCAGTTGTCCAACAGTGGATGAATGGATAATTAAATGTTGGTGATATATAAATAGAATGCTGCTCAGTTCTAAAGAAAAATGAAGTTAAGTCGGGCGGTGGTGACGCATGCCTTTAATACCAACACTCAGGAGGCAGAGGCAGGTGAATTTCTGTGAGTTCAAGGCCAGCTTGGTCTACAAGAGGTAGTTCCAGGACAGGCTCCAAAGCTACAGAGAAACCCTGTCTTGAAAAACCAAGATAAACAAAACAAAAGAAAAGAAAAAAAAAGAAAAATGCAGTTAAAAATTTGTAGGAAAATGGATGAAACAAGAATGTGTAATATTAAAGGAAATCATGAAATCTCAGAAAAGCTACATTTTCTCTTATATGCAGAATCTAACCAATAACATATGTATACATGTATGTAAACACATGTGCATGTGAGTATGACATAGCATGAAGAGAACAAGAGAGGCTGAGTGCAGGTGATGGCGTGAGTGAAGAGGTGCACAGCTAATTGTTCTCCTGGTTCTAATTATACCATGGATTTTGTTTGGTTTTGGGTGGTGGAAAAGTCCATAAAATATCCTCAATAGTGAAAGTGTAAGATTTAATGTGAGGCTCCACAGTTTCCATTCCAAATGCCTACTCTAGTTACATAGAAATTCAGTGAGCTGTATTGGTTTTAGGTCTGGTTAATTATGGCATACAATGTTTTTATTTATGTGTAAGTTTTTATAATAAAGTTTTTACAGTTTTTAGAAGGATATAATTTCTTTACCATGTCTCATATACTATGCCAGTTAGGTTTCAGTGATGCGCTTGAATTCCTCAGCTCAAATGAGTGAGCAATGATTCATTTGGCCGTAAAACCTGGAGTTTCTTTCCTTTCTTCCTTTCCCACTGTCATTTGTGTCTTGATAATACACAGTGACTGTGTTTCCTGCAAACTCTTCACATGCTTAGGATGCCTGCAGGACACTAGCAGCAGGAGATAACGGATGAAAAGTAGAGACGGTCCTATTCACAGCCTTGACTTCGGGAGCAGACTTACCCAGCAAATGCCTTCCCTACCCCCAGTGTGCATTTTTTTTTTTTGCTTTTAGGACATTTACATGCATTCTTTTTTTTAAACAAGTAAAGATTTTATTTTTGCCTAGGAACATAGTCCAGAAATACTTTAAAATGAGCTTCTGCGAGAGCTACTTATGCTCTACTTGACTCAATTGTTTAATCAAGCTGTAGTTCTGTGTAGTTAAGTAGATGATGGCCTAAAGAAGGAAATGTCAATGGCAAATGTAAGATGAAAGGTGTGAGCATCAGGCTGAGAACTGATGAGGTTGTGTTAGATACAGCACTATCACCTAAGAGCTCTGCATCCCTATTGGTCACAGTATTCCAGTTCAACAATTATTAGGACAGCCCCCCTTTTGCTTTTGTAGTTTGTTAAAGCATGTAAACACCATGATATCTTACTTCATATAAAAAGCATGAGCAGAAAACAATTAAGATATTGTGGGTTTTGGTTTTGCTCATTTGTTTTCATGAGAAAGTGTCTTACTGCATAGCCTTGGCTAGTCTGGAACTCCTTATATAGACCAGTGTGGTCTTAAACTCACGAAGACCTACCTGCCTCTGCTTCTCAAGTGATGGGATTAAAGGCATACATCACCATGCTTGCCTCAGCAATATATTTTGAGAGAGGATATATACATGCACAAAACCATTATTACAGTATAATATTCTCATATTTACTGTTACTGTCTTCCTCTGCCTGTTTATAGACTAAACTTTATCACAAGTAGGTATGTAATGGCAGAAGCCTCAGAGCTATGAAGTTCAGTACTGTCTACAATTCCAAACACCCACTAGCGGTCTGAGAATGAGTCCCCACAGGTACTGGGAACTACTGGCTCTCAGTGTTCCCTCTCAGTTTTAATGTTCAGTGTCTCAGACTTTCAGCCGCATAGTGTAAAATGACCATGTAAGTATAAACATAGAGATTTCTAGAAAGAGGTTACAAGATCGGAGTATTCTGATCCTATCATAAAATAAACGTCTGAGGTTTTTTTCCTGATTTTCCCTGCCACCCTGCTGGTTCACAGATCCAGAGAGCTAAGGGTGAGCTGAACTCGGTGAAGGCCT